TGTAGCCCAATATCGGGGCCTTGAAACTGTTAATCGAGATTTAGGTATCCCAAATTCGATTGCAAATGTTAAAACAATAATATTTACATTTTAATAGTGATTATTTATTTCAAATAATAAATGGAAAGCTTATTATCTTTACATTTTGCGTTACAAAGAATCTTCAATTGCTTGCAAAAATACTGCTAATTACCCCTTCGACTTTACTCCTAATTTCACATCTCTTTGATTGAAATTTTGTTTTATTTTACCATGTGCGATTACTGTGCGGTCATCAGTAGGTATTGTTATATATACATAATTATTTGCGTTATTTAAAATACTTTTCAACTTCAATTCAACCTCAATTTCAACCAACTATTAGTCCGACAGACAACCTTTTAACGTCATGTAATATATTATTAACAAATATTTTCAAAGTTTTTACAAATTTTGACCTTGGGGATAGTTTATGTGAGAATACTTTGTTACACCTTCATTTGAATAAATAGGAATCATGGACTGTTTGTCTTTTAATTTATTTTAAACACTTGATTTTATTGTAATTCAAAGAGGTAACTAACTTAAATAATACTATTAAAAAATTGTAATTACAAAATAATTCGGACGTTAGTGGAGACAGAGAAAAAGCCGATATGGTGGATATTAACGTTAAGGAAAATTTAATTAATTTATATTTATTTTAATATCAAGGCAAAACAAAATGTTACTTATACTATTCCATTTAAAACTAACCAAAACTATTACCATTAGTGGACTATATTAGTAGAGAATTAGAAGAAGAATGTAAGGTCCAATATGTGTGTATTACGATTCATCTTAATTATAACATTATCATCGTCAAACAGCGAACCACATAAACGTGAGACCAACATTTGGTTGGAGTTGGAAAAAAAGGAACGTTGTATACCGTGGTTGCATTTGGGAATAAAAGCAGGTTCGAAATAACAAACTAGAAATTCTCACGTGAATCGCTAAAAATGCAAAGTAGGCACCAAATTCACCATCCTGGCGGTTATTTACCGGGTAAAACTTTGACGGGTCGCTGCCGCTCAGCGTTTAATTTTGTGGCGCTTTTGAAAAGTTTCGAACATCGTGGCAGTTTATCGTAAGTTTATGTTCACTATAGCTATTCGAAGCAAACGTGGCGCATTAAAAATCCGAATTAGGATACACATTTGTTACAGTTTTGATCCAGTTTGAATTCAGTGTAGTCTAATTCGGCCTTAATTTTTTTAAAGTTTGATTTCAATATTGGCAGTTGTCAAAACTTCAGACACTCTTTTACTTATTAATGGAATACATATACGTAACGTATTCTTTGTTACCTAGAAATGATGACACCATAATAATCCTAAAAAGAGTAAGCGAAGGGTAGTAACAAATAAGTTATGACATGAAATAGCGAATCCAAGTTTTCCCGACTATATTTTAAGAACTGCTTCAGACACAGAAAAAAAAAACAATTTTAAAAACTAATCTTTATAGCATTTTCGCGAGTTTAATCTAGGATTGCTTTTTGGCGCATTTAATACGAACTAACTTGTATGTGGATCTGTAATGCAGTTGACTGTTATATAGTTCTCTGTTGGCATTGTGTCAGTCTCTTGCGAGTAAATTTTATAATAAATAAATGAAAGCTCACTGACATTGACACTGAATTTGTAGTAGGTTACAGTATTTCACTTTAGTTCGCTTGACAACTATACGCCGACGATTGACTCATTTTAATAAAAATTTGGCAAGCGAAATCTTGGTAATAAGCTTTAAAATTTCCACTAGCAACGTACCTCATCAAGTTTTAAGGCCGGGATTAAAGGGATCTAGGTCCGATTCTCCGCTATCCAGCAGCCAAAGAAGAAAACTTGCGTTAATTATTAACGAGGAAAACCTTTTGACGCAAATAGTCCAGAGTAAATTGGTTTTAAAATTTCACATTTCTGGAGGAAATTAAAGTTTTGCGCGCACCGGGTATTTAAAGATTCATCGCGGATGTCTGCCAATCGTAAAAGTTTGATTGAACCTACTTAAATATTGATCAAAAGAATGTTGTTATCGTCTTCGCTGGTATGCAATTAAGTTTACATAATTCGAACCATCGTTTTCATAATCTTGGGTACACAATTGTTATAGATTTATGAAAAGTTTAAACCTATTTTAGCAGTAGCTTTTAGTATTCTTTAAAATCTATTTGATCTTAAACCTGACCTGACCTGCAGTTATTAAGGGACAGTCAAAGTATCCAGGTATGTTTTACGATTGATTGAAACAGGCAGAACTACAGGGTGTTTCTTTTTTATGTATAGAACTTTAATTTGGCATTACCGTTCAAGATGGCAACCGATTTAACAGCTGTCAAGTGCTTCATTCTGTTTGGTTTGGCAATTCATCATGAATAGACTCACGCCTGAACAATGCTTGCAAATAGTGCAATTTTATTTCGAAAATAATAGTTTTGGTTAGTTGGAATACGTATCGTGCACTACGTCCATTTTATCGTCGACAAAATCGTCCATCAGAGCAGTTAATTCGATTAACCATGGAACGTTTTCGCACCACGTTTACTCTTATTGATAACTCGCATCCTCAGAAGAACCGAATGAGTCCATCCGCCATCGAGCACAGGAATTGGATCTGTGTCCATCCACTTTATGGAAGGTTTTGCGGAAAGATCTTGGTTTACGTGCTTACAAAATCCAACTCGTGCAAGAATTAAAGCCAAACGATCATCAAGTAAGGCGTAGATTCGTCGAATGGGCCCAAAACGAGATTGCCGTTGTTCCCGATTTTCATAAGCGAATTTTGTTTAGCGATGAAGCGCACTTCTGGTTGAATGGCTACGTCAACAAACAAAACTGCCGCATTTGGAGCGAAGCTAATCCTCAAGTGTATGTCGAAACACCGTTATATCCAGAAAAACTGACTGTTTGGTGCGCGTTATAGGCTGGTGGAATCATTGGTCCGTACTTCTTCAAAAACGATGATGGCCAAAACGTTACAGTCAATGGTGATCGGCATAGAGCTATGATTATTAACTCTTTCATTCCTGAATTGAATAACCATGATGTCCAGGAGATGTGGATTCAACAAGACGGCGCAACAAATCACACAGCTCGTGCCACAATCGATTTATTGAAAGACACGTTTGGTGACCGCCTAATTTCACGTTTTGGACCTGTGAATTGGCCTCCAAGATCTTGTGATTTGACACCGCAAGACTACTTTCTGTGGTACTATGTAAAGTCATTGCCACAAACGTTTGACCATTTGGAAGATAACATTCGCCGTGTTATTGCCGATATACGGCCACAAATGTTGGAAAAGTAATCGAAAATTGGACGTCCAAATTGGAGTACATCAGCGCCAGCCTTGGCGGTCATATGCCAGAAATCATATTTAAAATGTAATGCCACAAGATTATCTTTCGGATAAATAAAATTCATGTCAATCGAATAATCCATCGTTGTTTTATTGCAACTTATTTATAAAGTTATTTTCATATATATTTAAAAATTAAAAAGAATCCCCATTAGGATTTCATATCGATGTACTCCGAAGATGAATTTGGTAATCCCCATTTAGCCAATTAATTAGCGTTGTAACAAACTGTTTTGCGCCAACATCCGATAAAATCGCAATTGAAGCAAACTTTTAGTTATGGAGATTTAGAGTACGAATTCACCTCTATGCGGGAGTATGTATTGCAAAACCGTAATTTTATGGCGTCCGCCTACCGCTAAGCCGAAATGTAATTAGCGTTATTCATATACATTTGGAATTCCAAACTAACTGAAGCCAATTTGGTGACATTATTGGTCCCAAAACTCGTTGAATTGTTAAAATAATCGTTATAAACAACCAGTAATGCTACATCAACTTGCTATTTTTTAATTCTTAATTCGACTGACGAAGAAACTTTTTTGTAAATTTAATTAAGTAGTTATAGGGAAACTATATGCATTAGGATGTACGATTTATTGCTAGTAATATACGCTTCAAGTACAAACGGAACCTCATTGCCGTAGTTTCCTAGCAACGTTATACAACAAAAAAATGAGAAAGGCTTCCTGAAGTAATGACATGACATGACAGCCTGACATTCACACCTTCTTTAAGAGAAGGGATTTTTAAAAAATCTGAAATAAAGATCATAGATCAAGGGTGACGGCTTACACTATTGACTGAGAAATAAATGTCCAAGTTATTTATAGCAAGTCAAAATTAGGCACTTCATCTACTGTACAGTTTATATTGTACCCTATGACGCCCCCTCTAATCAAGTCAGTGTGGGTTTGTGTGGGTTAAAATTTTCGCTGAACCTCTATCAGAGTTTTGAAAGGTTTATTCTGTACGCCCTTAATAGAGTCTGGGACACACGTTTCTTTCTCGAATGAGTTTAAAAAGGTTGGTGTAGATATTTTATTGTAGTTAATAGCCTCCAAAACCCCAGAAGCTAGTTGTCTATTGCCACACGCGTTTGCAATTCTACTTCGTCACATTCGTCTCTCGTTTTTATTCAAAAGCCCTAGTCTGGGCCAAAAGGGAGACGCTAAAAGGGGCATAGATCAAAAAACCCGTCGGCTTTTCCAATATAAAGGTGACTTCCATCTGCAATCTCGTCCGTCTTAAATCATATCGCGGAGTTTTTTTTTTGTCGAAAAAGAGAGGGGGAAGGGGACTCCCGCAAAAGGAGATATTCCATTATTTAGACGGTGCGTTCCAACTTGAGAACGCTTCGTGAGATATTGCGGGAAACAAGCCACCTGCTAGAGAGGAATATGAATTATATAATCCCTTACTTCTGCCAACATGGCACATTCCTTTTTATTTCGCGTTTTCTGAGGGGGTAAAAGCTAAGTTGAGAGTGCTACGGGGAAACTTCTTATCGCCTGTCATAAATACATATTTGAGGATTTACAAGCTGGATTTATTGGCAAAGGCCAGTTTTTTTTAATGACCCATATCGTACGCAGCAATAATTTTGATTTCTTTTATTGCAGTTAGATGTATCAAACATGCGGCGTTTGGATCTTCGAGTTTTTGTTCACCTCGCTTCGATTTTACTACACGTAGAGGTCATGGCTTCACTTGACATCAGTAAGTATTTTTTACAAGTAACAATTGTCAAGAAAATATTATTTATTTAGAGAAAAATGAGAACAATAAAATGTCAGTAATTGCGAATATCTCGGTGTTTCAAAAATCCAAAATTAATAGTTATATTTAACAAGGATGCTTTAGAAAAATCGTCGGAGGGCGGGGCGACTGCGTAGTGCGTAGAGCTCAATAGATTTGATTTTCAAAAACAAGCCGCTTCGAGTTTTTTCGTCCTTGCGGGGCGTATTGTTGATTTATCGTGCTCCTGCGGACCGCTATGGAACTTTCGCAAAATCAACGTAATTTAATTCAAAGTTACGGTAAACTTTGATAAATATTAAAATTTGTATTAGCAATTGCGATTTAAAATTATATTTTTTCAAATATCTCGAGCACTCTGTATTATAGACGAAAATTAAAACTCTCGACACAGTTCACGATACTGTTCAAATCAAGTTATCCCATCTTTAACAGTTTTTTATTTACCGCCAATAATTTACCTACAATAATGGAAATTTCTGGGATCTTTTGGATTTTTTATCCATATATATATATAATTCAAACAATGTTCGAACTAGAGGTTATAGTCCTGGCTCTCTCACGTTTCCTGGTATATGAATTTTTGCAATTGTCGAGATAACACTTATTTTGTGAAACCGTGCAATTCGTAGTAATAATAAACTATAACGCTGTTTAAACGAATTAGCCATATTTTTTACGAATTTCGATTTGCGACTGGAAAAGGACAATTTGCAGGGCCCTTAAGTTTTTGTCCATAATTGGAACGTGTATATAAGCAAAAAAATGCTTAATATAAATTTTATAGTATTGCATCTTCCACATCTGCTGGTTAAAGAATGTTACCGATAGCTTTAATAGTTTTGGAGAAAATATTTTTTTCTGAAAATCAAAATAACCCAAAAAAAAATTCACAAAATTTAAAAAAATACTGTGTGGTATTTGAGCGCTCGCAACTTTAACGATTTAAATGTCCGGACTTTCCAGCACCTATTACGTTTTTTAATATTGCACGGTATATTGCGAACATCCGGTAAAATAGATAAAAACCTTAAATACAAAGGTCTTAGCTGCCTACACGGCCTATATTTCGTTGTAAAACAAATTGTTAGTTAGTTACGGTAAATTTTCATTATAAGACGAACCCCGTTTTCAGTTTTTTGCGAATACACCCTGTACATTTTTAAAAATTGTCAGTTTACAGCATTGGGTGTTGCAAATCTTTTGGTACATGATTTTTTCAGATCTCGTAACCGCTTTCGAGAATTGATTTTTTTCTTAGATACATGCAGACGCGGTTCTTAAATTTTTAAAAATACTTTCCGACCCTTTAGCCACCCAGTTTCAATGGGTTTCGTTATCCAAGCGAAATTTCAAGTCGATAGCTGCAAATGTCGGACACTTATCGTGTTTCATAGCAATGAAACACGATAAGCAATGAACTGCCCAAATCTGTAGCCGTAGCTCAAACGGTTCGATACTTATGGCGATTTAATGCCTCATCGACAGAGAAAGGGAAAATGGAGAACACAAATAAAAAAAAAATTTTTCGGAACTGATCATTTCTGTACCAGTGGGGGTCCTCTAGGACCTCCTATTGCAGAGATATAAGTTTCGTTGCCAAGCGCGTATTCTTTCGAAAAATTCAATTTTGTCAATTGTATGAATTTGTCAGAGCCGCCAGTAATGGGCTAAAATATTCTGTTTAATGGGTAGTAACTTTATCAAAAAGAAGAGAAGAGAGGAAGAAAGATATTTTTTACACGGAACTGTTTTAATATTTTAGATTAAAAGCGAATGGAAAAGATATTTCTTGTACTAGCATACAACCAAACATATGCCAAATAATAAGGGCTAGGTGGCGTCCCTAACGACGAAACGGTACTGAACCGCCAATTCCTCATGAACATAATAAAAAGTTAAATATGTTTAAATTGATAAAATGAGGCGACGGTATATTAATAAGGGCGGTGCTCATAATCGTTCTTGTGACCTTGAGGATGCCTTAAAAACTTTTGATTGTTAATTAAAAATTTGGCAAATTTTTAGTAATATCACATTCTAAAGGCCGAGGAAACCTCAAGTATCGACTATGAATTTTACCCTAAAGTCAACGTTATAAAAAACAAATTACGTAAAAGCTCGGTCGGGCACAGAATCATCCTAACGTAACTACTTTTACGAATTAAATTATAGTCTTGCATAATCAATTAATGGTAATTGATTACCCCAGGTGTACGTTGGCATTAACGCTTCGCAATAAACTGATTAAAATTGGGGAATGTATAATAAATTGTAATAAATGTGATCCGGCAATAAGTTGGTAATGTTGTATGGTCTGTTCATAGATATAAAAAAGTAACCAATTGCTTTTGAATGGGATTATCTAAGGGTGCTCATTAACATATAATGCAACAAGATTATTACCTTAAATTTGGGAATTTTAATTCAGGTAAAATTGTGGTCCGTAATAGAAAATAATTTTATATTTTGGTTTGGTATACTTCCTAATTTAAGTTTATTAGTAATCATTCTTATTTGGTGTGGAATACAGCGTGTTAAATCGTGTCCGAATTATGCAAAATATGTGCGAGTCTAGCTTATTTCAGGAGATGCTTCCGCCCAAATGTAGAAAACACTATTCTATTGAGACTAAGGAGGTTATAAAAAGTGTTTATTTGACTCTCATTGAACGTGGTGCCCGCAAGCAAGCATCTTTAGAAGAAACGGCCGCATCAAATTCCAACATCAACTGTATGGAAAATTGTGAATAACCCCATTTCAGTGAGGAAAAAAAGAAGCGATGCTAACATTTTCTCGAGTGTAGATGAAAGTGATCAAAATGTAATACCAGCATGCCTACATTAGATATCTTAATTAGGAGGCTTGAAAAAGATGAAACCGGTGTTAAATGTGGCAGAACTACCCTATGGAAGTGTATTCAGAGATGTGTATAAATATAGAAATATCTAGAAAAAATTAGGATTTACAGAGAACAACAAAAGCCAATTATTTACTTGGGTGAAACCTGGTTCGACACTTGATACCCCTGAAAAGGGTTGGGTTGGCTCAACTGATAAGTGTAAAACAGACGCGCCATCAAAAAGAGTTTTGCATGCTGGCTCTAAAGATGGTTGGATTCCAAATGGACTTCCTCTGTTTGCGAAAAATATTAAAGATTCTTCTCTGGATTACCATGAAGACACCACCGCTGATTTATTTGAAAGTTGTTTTAAAAACAAACTAGTTAAAAACATTCCTCCTAATAGCGTCATTGTAACGGACAATGCAAGTTATCACAGTAGACAGTTGACTAAAACCCCTTCCTCATGTGACACAAAAGCAACAATCCAAAACATTTATTTGCACGAAGATTATACCAAAAAGCAATTAATTGAGGTTCTACCAAGCTTGAACCTACAAAAGGAATACGTCTGTGATAATTATGCAAAAAATCTAGGGCATACAGTTTTAAGGCCTTACCACTGTATATTTAATCCCATTGAACATATTTGGCACCAACTGAAATTTGCCATTCGTCATAACAATGTTTTTCCCCGTGTTAACTCCAATATCCTCAAACTTATAGAAACCGAAGTTTTTAACATTCCTCTACAAAGTTGGGCAAATTCTGTTAAACATATAGAAAAAGCAGAACAATCGTGTATCCATATTGCGAATAATATAGAATAAATAATAATTAGAACAGACAACAAAACCCCAAATAATTAAATTCTAAGCAAAGTAAGGACCTGTTCGGTCATATTTCATTGTTACAGCTTGCCGGGGTCTTTCCTTAATTCGTATCAGTTAGTCACTTCCTTATATCTATTACTATCTACTTTACCACAAATTATTTTCCATAGTTGCGTTATTTCCGTAATTATATATAACTCAAGTTAATTCGTTATGTGAGGGACGGCGTAGACACTCCAAAATGCCACCGATTTCTCACGTCCATACATTTCTGTTAAGTCAACATCGACAAGACTTTTTGTAAGTTCTTCAATTAACTGTCGATTGAATCAACGATCAGAAAATTGCTAATTATAACGTCAATCCATGCATGAATATTTTATAAGATACCCGAACGATTAATTGGTAATTAATTTGAAGTTCGTGGAAGCGAAATTTGGGTCAACCGTCCTTCTTAAATCCATTTCGTTTCGTAATTTTACGTCCACTGTTTGGCAAAGCTAGAAAACCTTGGTCGCCGTCTTGTTTTCTATTAAATTTAAAATTTTCAAAACGTTTCACCAGTTAAAATTGTTGTCCTAAATCACAAATAAAAAAGTGTCCAAGAATTTTACAGTAATATTAAGAATCCTATTAGCGATACTTCTTTCTATTCGCAAATGATAGCGACATAGATATATGTCCACACTGTGTTGTATTACGAATTCAGTAAATATTCCTTTAAGGTATGACTAAAAAATGCCCGCCTGGGTAATCACTACAGCTGAATGTGAAGTTACTAACAGTTCTAAACTTCCCTAGATTATTTTGATTTGTGTTAAGCGCCTTTTATGAACAACAATCTACCATAAACTACAAAAAAGTGTTGTTTATAGCTTTGCGTCAATTTAAATTAAAAAATGTTTGTTATTGAACACATTGTGATTGACGATCATGTTGTAATGGTCCAGGACGCGTATAACCTAGAAATGATGAAACGGCTTTACGACGCATATAAAAAGTGGGGGTTACAGATGAGTCTTGAGAAAACAGAATAATTGGTATATATCTAGGAGCACTTGTGTATAAAAACGGAGTAGGAGAAACGTAAATAAAACACAGGAGTAGGAAGATCGTAGGAAACCTTAACTCATTCTGGTTCGATAAAAATATCTCAAATAAAAATAAAAAACCATTGGGGAAAGCAATGGTGGAGTCAGTTTTGAGCTATGCATTAGCTATATAAATAGATTATATCAGACGAAGCTCAAGAACATCGCGATTAGAAAGAAAAACCAATGAAGAAC